TAACCCGCTTGATCCTGCAGTACGAAAAAGTGTTCGTCAACCCTTATTTTTATAGCCAAGGCCCAATTCTTATTTTCTAAAGAGGCCAAAATGTACATAGCGTCCACCTACATTGTAATTGTACGTTGTATTTCCGGGAGGGGGCATAAAGTACCTGTCGCTACCAGGTGATCCCGACTCCTGACCTGACTGCCTTAACCCGTCATCAAAATTACTGTGGGTGGTTGAGGGCCGCTCTACTCTGGTGTGGATTGCCCATGCTGTTTGTTTGCTCCTTCTTCCTATCAACCATCGGTCGTCTTTATCTTTTTTCTTCTCTTTGTATGTTATTCTCTAGTAACACCTCTCATCTTCGTCATTTATGTGACTTAATTCTGTTGCAAGTGCCGTACAATTCTGACTAAAACGACCAAAACCAAAATTGCCCAAATTGCCGACTATTTCTCTTCCTCAGAATTACAAAGTTCTGTCTGCACAGTACCTCATTTTGAGAAATTTGACGTTAAAGATTTTGAGTTTCACATCGAGTCAATCGTTTTCGAATGCAATTCTTTGAATATCTTGATAATGACTCCGAATGATCTTACGATTTTAATAGAACAGATAGAACATAGTTTGGTCTCTGACCTCATGGTCTTAATAACTCAAAAGGGCCAAAAATGTCAGGTAGAACTTTGTAATTTTGAGGTAGCGACTCGGCGATATCGCCCCGGTTGGCAAGCACGGGTGTTTTAGTTTAGTAGACGACACTGTTCCCCCCGCCGCAAGGCACAGCCACGTCTACTGACAGGCTTCTTTTAACCCTTTGCGTACCTTATTTTCTCCCTTGAATTAATAACTGCTAAAAGTAAAGTCTGATGCAGTGGTGTACGGCTTGTTTGTTTTGGTGAGTGTTTTATGGCGCTCGCTATTGCATAAAGTCATATGAGCGCGCGGGACACATTAAACATTTTCAGTTTTGTTAGGAATTTTGAATTTTATCGATTTTAGGACAACCAATGGGTCTTTAACGTGTGCAACGTGCACACGGAACCTCCGACATTTTTTGCCCTTTTCCGAGAAGGCTAGGTGTTAGATCTTACCTACCATAAGGTCAGGGATGTGAGTGAAAGACTTCAGTAAGAAGGACCCAAGGAGTAGCTGTAGAAAGGTTGCAGACAGAGTCAGGAGCCCAGAGGAGGGGACAACGGGGAGGGGGAAGTAAGTGGAGACGAAAGCAGAAGACAGAACATGGTTAGAGAACAGGAAAGGAGGTGGAAGGAGAAAATTTTAAGAGAAGAAAACTTTTTGTCGCTTTCATGGTTCTGTACCTGGGATGTATTGAATGAGGGGCGAACACCGTAAACTCCACACCATGAGAGCAGTGGTGTATGATTACAAAAGAGTTAATGTCATGTGGTGGTGGGGCATGTGGATAATTATTAGGCCAATGTGTACTGGGATATGGGGAAATGCCAGCTGCATGATTAAGTGCAAGGACATTATCGTCGTTCTCCAGTTATGCAGTCAGGTTTTTAAAAAAATCTTTAACTCAAACTACCAGAAGGTGGTTTGCGTGCGCTCCGATGTGATTTTACTCCTTCTTTCCTATCACACATTGTATGTCCTCCTTATCTCTCTCCTTCTTCTTTTCTTTGTATGTTACTCTCAAACAACACCCCCATTCTTCGGCACTTATATGACCGATTTGTTTTCTAGTGCCGGAAAACTCGCACTTATTAAGCTTAACTCAAAGTCCCTTGAGAGGGTGGTTGGAGGGTGCCCCTGGCAGGTCTTAATTTCTTATTCTCCCTTTCTCTCTCTCTCTCTCTCTCTCTCTCTCTCTTTCTCTCTCTCT